AGGAGTTTGAGGTTGCTGTGAGCTAGGATGATGCCATGGCACTCTAGCCTGGGCAACACAGTGAGACTCTGTCTCAAAAAAAAAAAAAAAAAAAAGAAAAGTGAGCAAGCAAGCAAGCTGAGGATCAGCCTGGAGATCTGGAGAACTCCACTGAGGTCATGACGTGGAGACACAGCCAGTGGCCTTCTCTGGGGGACAGCACACTCCAGATTGGTGCCAGCTGGCCTCCTTCCAACTTCCAGAAGGAGCCCACCAAACAAGGGGCATGAGCTGTCTGCCTGCCAAGGAACCCCAGTCCCACATCAGAGAGAGCCTCACCCTCACGGCAGCCATTTCTGGGGGCTTCAGAAAATACCAAACAGGGTCCGTGGCCCAGTGAATTAAGCCTTAGCTGTGTGTTAGAATCATTTCTCACCCCACTGAGACTGAGAGAATCCACATGTCTGGTGAGGCTCAGGAAAGGGTGTTTTTAAAGCTCCTTGTTAGAGTTTTTTTTTTTTTTTTTTTTTTTGAGACAGAGTCTTGCTCTGTCACCCCAGGTAGAGTGTGGTGGCATCATCATAGCTCACAGCAACCTCAAACTCCTAGGCTCAAGGGATCCTCCTGCCTCAGCCTCCCAGATAGCTGGGACTACAGGCGTGTGCCGCCAGGCCCGGTTAATTTTTCTATTTTTTTGTAGAGACGAGGTCTTGTTCTTTCTCAGGCTGGTCTCAAACTCCTGACCTCAAGTGATCTTCCTGCCTCGGCCTCTTGAGTGCTAGGATTACAGGGTGAACCACCACGCCCAGCTGGTTTTGATAGATCTGTGGTGGAGACCCAGTAACTGCACTGAGAATCCAGAGAAATGAACACCCATTGAAAGCACTGAAACACATCATCAGAGCAATGTGGTGTGGTGCACTGTCAATACTAAAAAGAACCTTCGCTGGGCATGGTGATGCACACTAACAAAAAGGGGAAAGAAAAAAAAGACACCCCAATCTCCCTCTCATCCAGGAGAAAAGCCCAAACACAGAAGGGCAAAATGCCACTGGCCTGCTCCGTGAAGAGTGCCCCTCCCACATGGTAAGACAACGCTAACTCCCTGGCGAGGCTGGAGCACTAGCCAGCCACACCACGCCTGTGCCATCGAATGAGGAAGGCCATGACAAAACCTTCCCCCATGCAACCTGCGGCATTCCACAATGCGCCATGTAGTTTAGCAAGAGACTAGGGACTGGCTTACCCTTCTTGCACCAGTAACACTACAAGTTCACTGCAGGTGAAGTGAATCTTATGCCTCTTCAGTATACTCTGACCCTCAAGAGCTTGTCTGATAGAACTGTCTGTGATGACAGAAACATTCTATTTCTGCACTGTCAGTACAGCACTTGGAGAACTGCATTTTTAATTTTAATCAATTGTATTTAAGTAGACTCATGCAGCTAGTGGCTAAATTATTAGATAGTGCAGTGCAAGAGTGATTTTTCACTTCGTCCTGCTGCCTTTGCCTATGTGGATGTTGGAAAAATACACAGGAGCAGGAAAGGCCGGGCCAAGAAACCACAGTGGATTCTTCTCTGGAGAAACCTCCTCTGAGCAGGGCAAGGAATGGTGCAGGAAGGCTATGAAGTGCATACACCCCTCCTTGCCAAGTAACAGAGAGCTTTTCCCCAAAGTGCTACCTACAAACTTTCAGCAAGGAATAAACAAGAGTTTGTGAAAGAATTGTAGACTTGTGTCAGAGCAAAGTGAGAATGAGTTGTGCAAATAAATCATCTAGACCAACTGCTCACTTCATAGATGAAAAAACTGAGGCTCAGAGAAGTAACTTCCATAATAAAAAATCACAAATCATGGGGCTGGAAGTTGCTTGAATCTCAGCCCAAGGCTCCTTTTTTTTACTATAACTTATTTCCTCAGTGGACAATAAAGCTGTAGAATTAGCAGAAGGAATTGGCTGTTTTCAATGCAATGCCTGTGAGGCAGAGCAGAAATAAATTACTGACTCATGCCAGAATGAATAGCTCACCACTGCTCCATGACAAGCACAGACACAGTTGAAAAGGAGCCCCCCCCCCACACACACACACATCCTGGGAACCCTCACAAAGAGGGATGGAACGATGCTTGGACTGGCTTTGATTTCTCCCCAACTCACTGGGGTAATCCAATAAAGATTTGTTGACAGAGAAGCCTAGAAATTTGAGCCCTGGGATGCGCGTGCTCACCTACAGAGGCATGGTGAGTCACATCCACAACATCAGTCTTGGAGATGTGACCAGACCAGATGGCAGACTCAGGCCCCAAACACACAGTAGCATCCTGGTCAGTAGCATCACCTACCCAAGCAGCTTCCCTAGGAAGCCCTTCTTGGCCAATGGCCTGAAACACTGCAACCCAGCTTTGACCGGCCAGGTACTCTTCCACGTGGTGATGGTCTTCCTCACTCACTGCCCCAAGGTCTCCTAAACAAAGATCTGCCTGTCCTACTAACCAGGCTGTAAACATTCCAAGGCAATAAATCACTCTTCCATTTTCTTTAGCAGACCCACCGTCCTGAGAGCAGTGTATTATTCAGAACTGAACACAACTAATACAAATCCTTGAACATATGGGATTTCTTTATAGGCCTAAAGCTGATGCCACATTTCTAACACTGCTAACAAGAGTACACAACTGTGGGAGGAACTGCTAAAAAGGTGAGAAAGATGAAAAGATTCCCTTACTCAGACTCGAAACTGTCTCCCAATCTCATGGCACCTCCTCTGACCTCCTACTCACAAAGCTGGCAGCCCCTCTGCTCATATGGAGAGCAGCATGTTTCTGCCCTGTACTGCGCTAAGGTGTGCCTCCTGCCCTACTGCCAGTGTGGTGCTTCACTTCTTCAGGGACGCCTTCAGCAACGCAGCCCAGGTGCTCAGGCCAGGTCTTTCTCTGCATTCCATGGGCACTTTAAACACACAACTCTCTTGGCATTTATCACACTACACTGCAATGATTTGTTGACAAACTTGTTTTCCTTTGCTGCCCCAGTACACGAGGAAGAAAATAAGTCTAAGCCCTCATTGATCTGATACTCTTCAAGAAAGCTGGAATCTGGGTTCCTCTTCTCCACCCCCACTCAGTCTTCTCACCTGTATTCTAGGATCCAGTTCTTCCTCCTCTCTTGGAGACAATTTGGCCTCACTGTTGCTGCTTCCACCTCCTCCAGGCTCCTCTGCGACTGGGCTCCTCGGGACTTCATCCTCCACAACCTCAGGCCGCAGCTCACCCTGTGGGGTCTCCCGGCCCCCTGGAACCTGTCTGAGCTCAGCCATGTTGACTGGGAGCGGGCAGAGCCCTATGCACAAGAGAGGACTGACATGCTGGGACCAGGGCCCCAGCTTGGGGGCTTCCTGGGCTCTGGATGGCAAGGAGAAGGGTTTCTCTTCTCAAAAGGCAGAAAAAGAGGGCACAGGGAGAACCTCACACTCAGAGGCTGAGATTCAAGTTGTCAGTGGGGTTCCTAGAGCTAAAGCCTTGTCTGTACAAAAGTTCTTCCCTGACAGCCACGGGGAATCCACCAAGAGAGACCCAGAGCACCGGCTCTGAGGCAGAGGGCAAAGGCAGCCTGGACCCTGGGCCGAGGCCTGCAAAGAGGAGCACCATTCGGGAGGGTGGAAGCAGGCGCCTCCAGGCTGTGGTGGCAGCTGTAAAGAGTAGGCTGGGCCCGAGCAGAGGCTGCGGAACGAGCGTCTCTGGAGAGCTGGGGAGGAAACAATGGCCAAGTATACGGTCATGTCAGCATCAGAACCTCAGCCGCCAGCCCCTTCCAACCCTTCAGCCTCCCAAGACTCCACTCTCACCCCCGACCTCTGTATTCTGACCAGTCCCCACCTCAACTTTTCTCAGCCCTCAAAGACTTTAGATTCTACTCTTTTCCCCGTTCCAGCTCCTCTCGCCCCAGCCCCTCCCAACCTAGAGCTTTCTAGCCCTCCCTCGGCGCTCCTAGCCTTCCCTCCATGCCCCTTTCTCTCTGGCCCGTCCCACTCCACTCCCGCCCGGCTTTGCAATTCACCTTGTAACCCCCAGCCCCGCCCCACCTCCTCTCTCGCCAACCCTATGGACAGTCTAAGCCTCGCGTCCCAACCCCACACTTTTCTGCAACCCCAAGGACTCTGCCCCGAGCCATCCCACACAGCCAGGTGCAAAAGACCCTTCACAGCGTTACCTCAGTTTACCTTCCCGTACGCGGAGCTCCTAGATTGCAAACAATCCTCCCCCTCCCTCCCCGCAACAAGCCGGTCCAACCAAAAACTACCCAGCCCAGCGGAAGCGGAATTACCTCACGAGATAACACCACTTCCCTCCCACGCGCTCCCGCCCTCCGGGCCGCGCCGGGATTCCGCGCCCCGCCCGGCCTTCAGTTTCCGTACAAAATGGTGCCCCACGGTGCTCAGGCACGCCTTACGTTGGCTCCAGCCCATCTTCCACAAAGGCTGAGTGAAAGTGAAACATGAGCATATGCTGCTGAGCAAAGCTAGGGAGGGTGATGGCAATCTAGCGTTTCTAGTGAGTAGAGAAAGGCTAGGAATGAAATGAGATCGGATAATCGCCTCAGAGAGAGCACTACCATCCTGCTGTACGGAGCCGCCCTGCCGGCTGCCGCAAAGGCACTTCCGGCCTCGGCCGCGGAGGTGGGCACGACACCGGAAGTGAGCTTTCTGGTGTGTCGGCCCGGCGCTCTGGGCTGCTGCAGCTGGGGGCGTGGTGTGTTGCGCCTTTGAGACGCGAGGTAGAGTCCCAGAAGCGACTTTTCTCTCTGCAATGAAGCCAGCTGGACCCTGAGAACAGGATGTAAGCGGACAGCTTCGATGGATAGATCCCTCTCCTCGAAGGCTGCGGCCGCGGCGCTGCCTCTCCCAAGCCAGGACCTGTCGCCCTGAACATCGTTTCAGTGAGGTCACCATTTGCACTGTGAATACTGATTAGGAACTTAGCGTTAACTTAGCACACTCGTGTACTCAGTGCTCAGACACCCTCGAGGAGGGTGTTTATCTTTACCTAACTCAATGAGCGAGCGACTTAGCTGTCACCTCCAGGCGTCGCCCGCTAAGGCGGGGGCCTAGGTCTAAGGGGAGGGGCTGGGATGTTTTGTTTTTACGGAAGATAAGCACGGCGGGACTTTAATTAAAACGGTAAAAACGGATTTTATTCAGTAATCACAGTCAAGGAAAGAGCTGAGCTCCATTCCATTTGTGTAGAGGTGATTGGGCATTTTAAAGGAAGAATGAGGGCAAGAAGGTGAATGGGGCTCCGCAGAGTCAGAGAAGTGAAAACTTGCAGAGGATTGGTTAGGGTAAATGAGATTAGGACAGAGATGTCTGCTAGCTGGCAGTTATCTAAGATAATGTGCTATTCTGCCACTGAGTCTGGGAGATAGAGGCTCGTATACATCCTAGAGGGATGAAGGAAGAATTCATAATTGTAAGTACTTAGTAAATGCTTAGAAAGAGGGGTCAGGAGCCTATTGTCAGGTGTTGGCTGGAACAAACTAAGTTCTGGCAGCATTGAGCTTTCTCGGGCAGGCATTTTAATGTGTGGGGGGGTGCGAGTGAGAATAAGAGGGACATGACCTTTTGCTGGTGGAAGGCATGCTACATTTCTGTTGTCTCTTAGTGCAGAGGTTTGGATGGAGTTGTTATGTGCCAAGAGTTTGGCAGTTCTCAGCCCCTACCATACCCTTATTCGATGAGTAACCACATTGGAAAAAAAAAAAATGGCCTGCAAGGTGGCTCATGCCTGTTGTAATTGTAGCACTGTGGGAGGCCAGTGCAGGAGGGTTGCTTGAGGCCAGGAGTTCAAGACCAGCCCAGGCAACATAGTGACACCCTGTCTCTACAAAAAATAAAAAACTTATCCGAGTGTGGTGGTGCACACCTGCAATGCCAGACACTTGGGAGGTCGGGGCAGGAGAATCTCTTGAGCCCCTTCTAGGGCAACCTGGGCAACATAATGAGACCCCATCTCTACAAAAACTTTTAAAAATTAGCCAGGCATGGTGGCACACGTCTGTAGTCCTAGCTACTCAAGAAGATGAGGCAGGAATATCACTTGAGCCCATGAGTTTGAGGTTGCAGTATGCTATGATCATACCACCGCACTCCAGCCTGAGTTACAGAGTGTGAGACCCTGTCCTTAAAAAAAAAAACCAAAAAATTGAGTAGAGCCAAATATAGCCTTTAAAAGAAGTGATTTAAAAGACAGATTTTTTTCCATATAATTGGAAGTCTTATTTTTGAAATTCTGAAGGTGACTTTTCTTATTTAAGTTAGCGGGACCCTAAGTGACATTGTCTAATTGGACAGCTCTGATGGATGATAATGCCTCAGTTTTCAACCACATTCTTCTTTGTTATTAAAGTGCCATGCACAAACCGTGAAAATTAAATAAATATAGAAGTCTTAAACATTATTTATTTGTTCTCTACCAGTCACTTTTATTTTTCTCTCTTACCAAATCTGTCTTAATCTTAGTCACTTTAATTTTGTAGAACCAGAATTTCACTGTAATAACCCCATTTTACCCAACGTCTTCTGTCTACCCTAGCCTGAATTCTACAACCCCAGCACGGCGCCGTAGCAGTATTGTAGCAAATGAGGTTTATCCGAGGCATGATTATTGCTAATTGAAAACTTTTCCCAATACCCCACCATGATGACTTGAAATATAGTTGGCATTGGCAATTTTTGACAGTCTCTATGGAGACTGAAGTAAAAAAAATAAAATGAAATAAAGAATTCTCCAACCTTTCCTATTCAGCACTACTCCAATACCTATCATTACCTTGTAACCCGTCCCGCAGCTCCTTCTCTGTGTGCAGTCCTTCACGGTCACAAGCTGCTTCTACTGGACACAGACCTTTGTTGGATTTGGTGGGAAGACATCATGAGTACATACAGTGCCCAGATCCCTAGATCACATCCTGAGGTTCAGCAGCCCTTTTAAGTCTCCACTGGGCTCTCCCAAGATTAACTCTAACCCACTGAGACCAAATGTGATTCTATCACGTGTAGAGTGTAATACAATCTCCCAAGAATTTTTCTTCTGGGTTTGGATAATGTTTCAGGTAGAACGAGGTCGAAGGGTACTGTGCATTGATTTAACTTAGGCTTGTTTTCATGAAGCCAGCATAAACACGATGAACTAAAATGTTTTTCTGGAGTACCACCGTGCAATAGACCTTTCTGCAATGAAGGAAATGTTCCGTATCAGCTCTGTGCAGTATGGTAGTCTCCAGCCACATGTGGCCTTTGAGCTAGTGTGATTAAGGAACTATATTTAATTTTAGTTTCAAAAGCTATATGTGGCTAGTGGCACATTTAAACAGCCTGTCTTTCCTGTGTAATGTCCTCTGGGTACATGTTGAACTTTCGCATCTTCAATACAAAACAAATGCCTGTCAGTCTCCACTGTCATTTGCCTTACATCCACTTCCTCACCTACCATTTACCTCTGCAGTCTGTCTTCTGCTGCTGCCACTCCATAGAAATTGCAGAGATAAGGTCATCTATGCTCTCAATATTGCCAAATCATTGACGTCTGACCACTGGCTCATTTCTCTCTTCTTTCTTATCCTTTAGCTTCTGTGTCACCCTTTTCCTGGGTTTCTTCTTATTTCTCTGGCCTGTTCATCCATTCCTGTATGCAATATGACTTTACTCAGTGTCTATTATGTGCCAGAATTTCAAGTGATGATGAGAAAAAGGACGCTATCCCAGTTCCCATGTAGTTTGTAGTCTGTGATACTCATTTTATAAACTGGTGACATTCAAACATTGTGACACGACCCAGATATATGTTTTACTTTGCAACCTAATATACATGTGTGTGTAAATATATTCATTAAAAAGTTTCAGGAAAAGATCTTTACCCAAATTGCATGCAAAACATATTAATATTTTTATACTATTTTTTAATGCTGGTGAAGACCTCTTTTGATGATTTTACAACCCACCCACAGTTTGAAAACCACATGCTAAATGTCAGTGTGCCCCAAGGCCTGATGTTAGCTTCTATTTCATGCTGCACTCCCTGAGTGCCCTTACCCAAGTGCATGTCTCCAGCCTCTATCCATGCGCACTGCTCCTTCCTTGGAGCTCTGTCTCCACAGACTCCCAGCAGATCACACTTTGAGATCCAGCAGCCTCCCAGACACAACTGGCCTCAGTGTTTCCTCTCGTGGGTCCAAATCTGATTTCATCCCCTTTTCCCAAATCCTGCTCCTTTGACATTTACTATGTTGGTAAATGGTTCTACGATCCACCCACTTACCCTAGGGAGAAACCTAGATGTAAATGCATTCCCCTCTCCCCAACCTCTTTTCATCACAGTAAGTACTTTAAAGATCTCTCCTCTCCATCTCATTGCCATTGCTTCAGTTTAGACCCTCTCACTTGCATCAGAGACAGCGTACTTCAGGAGTCTTCTAAATCAGCTCAGTTCAATAGCACCTTCAACAAGGATGGAAATTTCTATATGTGCCCTTTCCAAAATGGTAGCCACTAGCCATGTATAGCTCTTTAGCACTTAAAATATGGCTAGTGTGATTGAGGAACTAAATTTTTAAGTTTAAATAGCCATATATGGTAGTGACTAACATATTGGACTGTACAGGTCTAAATGATCCTGCCACAACTGTACCCCCTCCTAGTACCTGGCACAGATAGAACACCAACCAACCCCTATTGACTAAATGAATTAAATAT